TTTAGTTGCAACAAATAATTCAAATCGTTCACAAAGGCCTGGGATGTCTCGATGGTTTTTAGCAAGAGGAGACATCATTTGTGGATGACCTGTGATAAATGTCGGAGATACGCAATCCACCTCAATAAACTCACCAACAAGCTATAGTATTGAATCAAATTAAGAAATAAGAATTAAAAATTTTAAAATTTTCAACAATTTTATTTAATAAAATTTGACATTTTCACTTACTTTATCTAATAAACGTGCATTTGTCCTTGGTGGCGAGCATTCCACTTCATGCTTTTCACAAAGTTCTTGCAAAAATTTATTAGTTTCGTTTGTATGCAACTCTGAAGCCGGAGGGAATTTAACATCCAACTTTTTTTCTAATGTTTCGATCATGCTAACTCTCTTAAAAGGTGGGGTAAAATCTATTTTCATTTCTATTCCATCAGGTCCTTGAGGGTGATATGTGATTTTATAATCACCAGTAATAGATTTGACCATGCCAGATAACATGTTTTCAGTCATTTCCATCAAATCGTACATATCAGCATACGCCATATAAAATTCACAAGTGGTAAATTCCGGGTTGTGAGTAAGATCAATGGATTCATTACGAAATTGACGACCAATTTCATAAACACGATCTAAATCACCAACGACAAGCATTTTAAGATACAATTCTGGAGCCACTCTCATAAATAGGTCAAGTTTAAGATCATTATGATGAGTTATAAATGGTTTAGCGGTTGCACCACCAGCAATCATATTCATCATGGGCGTTTCAACCTGAGAAAATATTAATAAATAAAATAATTTATACTACGATAAAATAAACAATAAGAATTATAAAATTTACTTCAAGAAATCCAAGATCATCTAAAAATTGTCTAACATATTTAATAATTTTAGATCTGACGTTAAATTTTTCTCTAACGAAATTATTAATAATCAAATCAAGGTAACGTTGACGGTAACGAGTTTCTTGATCTTTGAATCCATAATATTCTTTTGGTAACATATGTAAACAAGGAGAAAGGAGTACAACTTCTTTTGGGAAAATTGACAATTCACCCTTCTTTGACTTT